CTGAAGAAAGAATATTGACAGTCTAAAAAAAATTTAGGAATCCTGAAATTACAAGACCAGAGGAAGATCTACAGATCACTGGAGATTAATCTATTTTACATGGAATCCTCATACTAGTGTCCCCAAAGGGGAAAGAAAATAAACTGAAGACTAAACTTGTAAGATTTCTACACTGGATATATTTATATGGGTTCCTAACTTTTACAAAGACAATGGCTACAAATTAGTGTATTGTTCCCTTGAGGTTTTATGGTCTAAATTATCTAAGTTATCTAAGTCATCTGACATTCAAAAATATTAAAACAAAAAATTAAACACAGAATCTCAGAAACAAATAATTCCTACGATCTTAATTGCTTAACACTTTGCATAACACAACAGGATCTTGTCTGTTAAGATATGAATTGCCCCTCGGTTCAGAGTATCCACCCTGAGTACCGTACCCACCTGTTAGTTACTAAGGAACCATCTGTTTTCAGCTCAACAATTGCAGAATCATAAGGATTGTGTTCAGATACTTGTTCCCTTTTCCTCTCCCTCTCTCCTTAGTGCCAGTTTCCAACTCTGGCTTTTTTGGTCATTAACTGGAGATAGAATCTCACAGACTTTACAGACTTTTTTACCTGGGCAAGCTTTGAACCGCAATCCTTAGATCTCAGCCTCCTGAGTGGCTAGGATTTTAAGTGTGAGTCAATAGCACCAAGCTAATTTTTCTTAATCTTAGCCCAAAGCAGAAGAGTAGTGTTACTGACAGTTTTGTCACAGTGTATTGTTATAAGTGTTTGGTTGTAGTTTTTACTGTTAATCTCTTACTGCGCCTAAAGTAAGCTAAATGTTATCCTTAAAATACATGTGTAGGAATAGAAGTACATAATAGGATTCAGTACGATCTGTGGTCTCAGGCAACCACTGAGGGAATGTGTTCCTCAGGGATACGTGAGGATTACTGCAGTTCCACTCACATTCTCAGCCTCACTGGAGACAGAAAGAAAAGGCAAAGAACCAAGAATCAGGAGACACTAGCTCTAGTCCTGCCTCTGCCATTAAACTGACACTTAACTGATAACAATGGTAATTCAGGGCTTCCAAAATGCAATTCCAACTCTATAGTGTTGTTTCTAAACATCATTATCATTAAAATAGTTATTTCTTGGGCTGGGAAGGTGGCTCAGTAGTAGGATGCTTGCTTTGCATGCATGATGCCCTGGGTTCGATTCCTCAGCACCACATAAGCAAAGAAAGCTAGAAGTAGTGCTATGGCTCAAGTGGTAGAGTGCTAGCCTTGAGCTGAAGGACAGCACCCAGGCCTAGAGTTCAGGACCCACAACTGACGTATATATACATATATATATATATATACATATATATACACACACACACACATATATATGCATGTATGTATATATATGTCAGTAATTTTATACAGACTACTTTTTAATGGTCAGTTTCAGATAAAATAGCCCAATATATTTTCCCACTTTGCCTATGACATAACAAAGAGAATAACATTAGACTTGTTCAGTTTGTATAAAGAAAAACACAGAAACAAGAGCACATTTTCCATTTATTATTTAAGTAAGCAGATGATTCCTGAAATAGTTTCATAGTCATTTCTTAAATCCAAGTCAGTCTGGTTTTACCTTATGCTCCTTTATTGTAAAATGAAATGCCTTCTGACTTAGTGTAGATCTTACAATCTGAACCAAAGAGAATCACTTTTCCACTAATTGGGTATGGGATAGAAGTTACTCTACCTCAATGTCTGAATTTATAAACTGAAGAAAAAGATCTCTCTGAAGATAGTTAAGATTAAATAAACATGATAGCGTGGTACTTTGCACAGAATATAACTGTGCTAAATAGGTTTGTGTATGTTTTAAAGTTATGTAAGACAATTATCAAAAAAGTTGTTCAAACATATTATTCCTCATTAATAAGCATATTCATTCCAACAAGACATAGCTGAAAAATGCAATGTGGAAAGCTTTTAAAATTCAATCCAATAAGCATGTATTTCACACTTACTGTGTGCCAAATACTTAATTCCAGCTACTAAGGAATCAGGAAAGTTAAGATTTATAGCCAGCTAGGGCAAAAAGTTAGTAACACCCACCTCAATCAACAAGCAAAGCCTTTGGGGCATGTGCCAATAACCCCAGCTACATGGAAAGCATAGGTCAGGCCAGGTTTAAAAACAAACAAACAAACAAACCACCAGATCTAATCTACAAACTAATTACATCAAAATATGGTCTGAGTGTGACCCAAGTAGTAGAGTACCTACCTCACAAGCATGAGGTCCTGAATTCTAACCTCATTCTTGACATCAGACAAAAAGCATGGTATAGAAGAAAAAGGAGTACTATTGGCAAAGATTTGAGTCTTGCAGTGGTGGGCAACCTTTACTAGGCCGAGGCTCATTTGCATATTTATAACATCTTTGTTAGAGCATACACAATTTTCAACCCAAGAAGCTAGAAGGATGGCAGCTAAGAGCCAAAGAGAAGCATCTGAGAAACACGACTGTCCCAAATGATTTCAAAGGCCTTCTGCAGACCAAGGACCACATGTAAGCCTACCTAGAAGCCCAGCTGGCTAGTTGCTATGTATTGATTTAGGGCAGTTTAATTTTCCTGAGTTTTCTCATAAATATACTTTTTAGAGTTGCTCTGAAGATTAGAAATAACATATAAAGTGTACTCAATAAATGATAGGCTTATGAAACATACCTTTGCCTTCTGGCACTTTTACCCACTTGCATAGAATTATTCATATAACCTTAGTTATTTCCCAATGGTTTCCACATTCCTCCATCCCTCCTCAGTTCTTCCTTTTTTTTTGGGGGGGGGGATCGGTCATGGGGCCTGAACTCTGAGCCTGGGCGCTGTCCCTCAGCTCTTCAGCTCAAGGATATCCCTCTACCACTTGAGCCACAGCACCACTTCCGGCTTTTTTCTTTTTGCTTATGTGGTGCTGAGGAATCGAACCCAGGAACTCAGGCATGAAGCACTCTACCACTGAGCCACCTTCCCAGCCCCTCCTTAGTTCTACCTTTGAATGTTCAGTATATTCTTTATGAAACAGCAAGCCTATGTTAAGCCATCCATTGTTAAGATCACATTGAGCTGTAACTGAAGCTAACTCTGGGTTGGTAATTGCTATTGTCAATCTAACAGTTGGCTTATGAAACTGGAAGCCACAATAACAGTATTTTTAAATATTGTTAACTTTGGCCAAGAAGTATTTAAATTTTCACTTACTCTCTGACTCCCAAAATGAACTTTCTCTAAAAACTCTTTGATGAACTAAGCTAGTCATTAACACATATAAATACATGTTTTTATTACATCCTTACCATTTAACTCTAATAAACATAAATGATAATCTTGAAATATGAAAAAAGTAGGTAAATACAAAGCAGAATTGAATGAAAACATGGACAAAGTAGGTAAATAGTTAAATACAAAGGATAAGGCAGTCAATCTCTAAATCATGAAATGGCCTCTATGTCAATTTAGTTTTTCAGATCTATAAAAACCATATAAAGTCAAACCAGGTCCCTCTGGTCCCTGGCCCATAATCTTGACTACTCAAGCAGCTGAGATCTGAGGATCTACATGCTGAGGCTAGTCAAGGTACATAAATTCAAAGGATTCATCTCCAATTAACCATCGAAATGCCAGAAATGGCTCATGGTGGCTGTGTGTCCAAAAGCCAAGCAAGGGCTCACAGCCCTTCCTGAGGTCAAGCATCAGTACCAGAACAACAACAAAGTAAAGTAAAAATAAGGTGTAAATAATTACATCTAAAAAGTGAGGTTACCATGAATCAATCTGGAATCTACCTTAATTTTCCTACTTCAAGAAAATAGGTGCCATTAAACTTATCCTTGTGGCATATAAATTCTATGAAGAACTTTTCTGTGAACTCTATCATTTTTTGTATATATATATATATATATATGCATGTGTTATATTTACATATGCATGCACTTGTTATATACACATTATTAGTCAATTAAACATCACAGATTTTGAAATATTAATGTTGAATTAAAATGAATACTTTATTCGAAGAGCTACATCCTGAGCATGATTTTAGGATTGTTTTTCTGAGAAAAAGCCCGGAAACCTCACCAAATTGTAATTGCATCTTCTTCTGGTGAATACTACTCTCAAAGGCTGTATGTAGATTAAAATTCAGAACCGAGAGCGCATTTTCACAATAACACCACCATAACTCTGTCCACAAAGCAAACCTACAGATTAGACTCCAAGTATCCAGTAAATGCTCACTCTAGCAAGGAGAAAGTGATGTTAGAATATAGTTCCACAAGTCCAACTCCTGACAGCCTCCATGAATGAAGGGAATTACACAAAAATGATTTAATGTCTCAGAAGCAGCCACTTGAGGCTGGAGACAGACTGACCCCAGGAAACGAGAGGGAGAGAGAAGACCGATGCAGCTAACATGCTTCCAATGAACTAGACCTTGGCCCAGCACCTGACCCGTTATAATCTACTTAGTCATCTCGTCGACAAAAACAAACGAACGGTCAAAGCAGACAGAGATCACGGGCAATGTGGATCCTTGTCTTTGGGTTGAGATTTATCAGAAAAGAGAAAATGAGAGTAAAACCAGAAAAGGAGGGGTGGGGGTGGGAGGGGGAGATCTCAAAAGAAAGGAGCGGTGTGCGTGTGCGTGCCAGGGGGAGGGGACGGTAATGACACCGATGCTAACGGTGCTTAAGTCTCCCGCTCCGGGTGTGGAAGCGGGGGGAGGGGGGGTCGTGCACGTTCCCGGGGACCGTCCGCGCCGAGGGATGGCGGATGCCACCGTGGATCGGATTAACCCCCCTCCCCGTGCCCAGACGCGGGGTGCACGGGAGGTGGGGCGGCAGGAGCGCTCCCCACCCTCCGCGAGGAAGGACGGACCGCGGCGAGGGGGCGGTCCGCAGCCCCCGCCCCAGCCCCAGCCCCCTCCCGGGCGCAGCAAATTACCGGTGAGGTTCCTCAGCACCGTCCCGTGGGCCCAGAGGCTCAGGACCTGCTGCACCGACAGGTTGATCATGGAGTGGTCGCCCCCCTCCGCCTTCATCTTCCCCGGTGGGCGCCCGCCGCCCTCTCCGGGGACGCCGGGCGGCGGCGGCGGCGGCGGCTGCGAGG